TGTTGCTGTTGTCCATTGTTGTCATCTTTCTTTGTTGAAATCAGGTCTCTCTTGTAAATGAGTCCTCGAGGCTCAATGGGATTTACCTGTATAAATAAAGGTTGATTGATTGATTAAACCTTTACTTAAGAAGTCTGACCTTGATTTAGAATTTCTGGCCAACTATAGACCTATTTCTAATTTACCTTTCATCTCAAAAATTCTAGAGAAAATAGTTACAGGTCAGTTGCGTGAACATCTACAAAGAAATAATCTGTTTGAAGAGTTTCAGTCAGGGTTTAGAGCTCATCATAGCACAGAAACAGCACTAATAAAAGGAACAAATGATTTTCTCATGGCCTCAGACAATGGACTTGTGTCTCTACTGGTCCTGTTAGACCTCAGTGCTGCATTTGATACAGTTGATCACAATATTTTACTACAGAGGCTTGAAGATGATATTGGGATTAGAGGAACGGCTCTAAAATGGTTTAAATCATATTTATCTGATAGATTCCAGTTTGTAAATGTAAATAATAAATATTCTTCATACACCAAAATTAGTCATGGAGTTCCTCAGGGCTCAGTGCTTGGGCCAATACTCTTTACTTTATATATGCTTCCATTAGGTAAAGTTATTAAACTGCAAGAAATAAATTTTCATTGTTATGCTGATGACACACAATTATATTTGTCCAGGAAACCCAATGAATCCAATCAGCAACATGGACTACAAGCATGTCTTAAAGACATAAAAACCTGGATGACCCTTAATTTTCTCCTTTTGAACACAGACAAGACTGAGATTTTGTTTTTTGGACCTGAGCACCTTAGGAATGAATTTTTCAGTCTTTCTCCCTCCTTAGATAGCATTAATCTGTCCTCCAGCTGTAATGTTAAAAATCTTGGTGTTATTTTTGATCAGGACGTGTCTTTTATCCCCCACATTAAAAGAGTTACTAGAACTACCTTCTTCCACCTGCGTAATATCACAAAATTAGAAACATCTTATCTAAAAATGATGCAGAACAACTGGTCCATGCATTTGTCACGTCTAGACTGGACTATTGCAATGGTTTATTATCTGGATGTCCAAATACTTCTTTAAAACATCTTCATTTGATCCAAAATGCTGCTGCCAGAGTCTTAACTGGAGGATTTAGCAAAAAGGAAAGTCTTAAGCCTAGTTTTAAAACTGGATAATGTGACAGCCTCACGGACAGAGATTGGAAGTTGGTTCCACAAGAGAGGAGCCTGATAACTGAAAGATCTGCCTCCCATTCTGTTTTTGTAAATTTTAGGAACCCCAAGTAAACCTGCAGTCTAAGACCAAAGTGCTCTGTTAGGAAAATATGGAACAATAAGATCTGTAATATAAGATGGAGCTAGGTTGTTGAGAGCTTTGTAGGTTAGAAGTACGATTTTGAATTCTATTCTGGATTTGACAGGGAGCCAGTGGAGAGAAGCTAAAACTGGAGAAATATGATCTCTTCTACTAACTATAGTTAGGGTCGGCTTGGGTTTCCTGAGCTGTCCCTTAGTTATGCTGCTATAGGCTTAGACTGCTAGAGGACAAACTGACCACACTTTTCACTCTGCTACTGTCTTTACTTACTCTGCTCAACCTGTTTTGTATTTGTAATTATTTTTTCTATCCTTAACGTGTTTTTTTGTCTTTCAGATACACCTGGACCTATACCTGGACCTACCATTCTATGTTCGTCTGTCTCTCCTTCCTGTCCTCTCAACCAGCTGGTCAAAGCAGATGGCTGCTTGTCCTGAGCCTGGTTCTGCTGGAGGTTTCTTCCTGTTAAAAGGGAGTTTTTCTTTCCACTGTTGCCACTGTGCTTGCTCAGGATGGGAGACTGCAACGAAGCCAAGATTCAACTTGTCTGCTGGATTCCTTAGATAGAGAACTTTACTAATTGGCTTTTATGTATGTGAATGTTCCTGTAAAGTGCCCTGAGACAACTTTGTTGTGATTTGGCGCTATATAAATAAACTGAATTGAATTGAATTACTGGGTCTGTCCGGCATCTTCCCCCGCCATCTGATCTAACTCACTACCAGGTGGTGATCAGTTGACAGCTCAGCGCCTCTCTTCACCCGAATGTCCAAAAGAAATGGCTGCAAATCAGATGACATGACTACAAAGTCAATCATTGATCTACAACCTAGGGCGTCATGGTGCCAAGTGCATTTATGGACCTCCTTATGTTTGAACATGGTGTTTGTGATGGACAAACTATGACTAGCACAGAAGTCCAACAACAGAACACTGCTTGGGTTCTGATCAGAGAGGTCGTTCCTCCCAATCATGCCCCTCCAGATCACACTGTTGTTACCTACGTGGGCATTGAAGTCCCCTAGCAGAATAAAGGAGTCCCCCAACTGGCGCACCTTCCAGCACCCCCATCAAGGACTCCAAGAAGGCAGGATACTCTGAAGTGCCATTTGGCGCATAGGCACAAACAATTGTCCGAGCATGTCCCCCAACCCGAAGGCGCAGGGAAGCTACCTTCTCATCTACCGGGGAAAACTCCAGCACACAGGCACCAAGTCCAGGGGCTATGAGTAGATCAGAGAGTCAGAGTTTCTTTATTTGTCATTTGAATCGCATGTGGTACATGTAGGGCTGGACAATAATTCAATATCGATATATGTTGCAATATACTTTTATTCAATAATGTGATATGAGGTTTTTTTTATCACATTTTCGATATTTCAATATGATTACAGCATTTCACTGACTCATTTCTTTTTCTGTTCGGGTTGAAGCGGCTGCTTCAGTTTCAACCCAGACAGAAAAAGGTGCGCCACAACTACGTAAGTGCGTGGTGATGTAGATGTTACGCAGAGCTAGAGTCCAGAAGGCGTTAGTGGTAGTAGGCTAGTCTAGGCTAATCTATAACGCGCGTTAAGTTTTCGCATCAGAATGAGTGCCCATGACCGTCAGAATGTGACTGAACAAGCTTTCAAAAGTGAAGAGAAAGCAGATGACATAAGTGATAAGAGAGGAAAGGCTAATTTGGCGGTGTGGAAGTGGTTCGGCTTTCTAAGATCCGATAAACTGCAGGTTTCACAGTGTGAATGGTAAATGGTAAATGGACTGTACTTATATAGCACCTTTCTCTCTTATCAAGATACTCAAAGCTCTTTACAACACAATCTGCGCCTCATTTACCCATTCATACAGCACTCAAGAGACTAATCAGTTCTTTTATATCACATTCATACACTGATGGGACACACATCAGAGGCTATGAGGGGCTCAGTGTCTTGCCCAGGGACACTTCAACATGTGACTGCTGGTGGATTCAAACCCCCAACTCTTGCATTGGAGGACGACTGCCCTAACCACTCAGCCACAGCCACCCTTGTGTGCTGCAAAATGTGACAGCGGTGGGAACACATCTGACTTGTTCCATCTGAAGAGTTTCCACTTGATAGAATATTCTGAGAGTCACAAGATGAAACAATAAAGTTTGAGCCAACATGTCCCTGAAACAACACCCCCAGCTGTATCAAGAGAAACCATGGTTTGCTGCATGGGTTGTTAGGTTATGTTGTTTTTTAACTTAAAGTTAAAACTATTAATATTGACAAAGTTGAGAGTTTTATGTTTATTCGATGGTGATTTCAATTTTGTTTGAAGGCTAAATACAAAATAAAAGGTGAACATTAATTTATTTGTACAGTTTTTCTGAGGCTTTTATATTGTTTATATGGATATCGAATTATATCGTTATTGACCGAAATTAAGAAATATATTGTGATAAAAGTTTTGACCATATCGTCCAGCCCTAGGTACATGTGGTGGAACAAAATTATGTACACAGGGTCCCAGTTATATCCAACAATAAAATGTAAAAGAAAAACAGTAATAAGATCTAAGATATGAACTAAGAAAAACATCAACTAAAAATACGCTAAGCTCCAATAGCATAAAAATAATACGCCGAAAAGCAGCACGGACATGTGCTGTGTGAGCAGATGAGCACGAATGAACACAGCAACATGAAACAGATCAGCAGCAACATGAAACAGATCAGCAGCAACATGATGTGGTTTTTCACAGTGATTATTCTGGTTAGAGATTCATGAGTCTAACAGCCTCAGGGTAGAAGCTGTTCCTCAGTCTAGTGGTTCTACACTTAATGCTCCTCAACCTCCTTCCTGAGGGGAGCGGGGCAAAAAGTGCGTGTGCTTTCACACTAAGATCCACACCAGCTCGACGCCTTTCACCATGGGCAACTTCAGAGTGGAATAAGGGGCTGGACCTTATGTTGGACCAGCAACAATAATTGAGAATTAAGCAATTTTTGTAGGAAACAGCAATCTACATAAACATATATGGGTTTTCCTCAAATGTATGCATGTACTCTCTCATTTAAATGTGAGCGAAATGCATCAGCATAAAGAGATGCTATCTGGCTGGCAGCCCAGCTTGAAGCATGTGTCTCTCTCTGTAATAGTCTTGTGATTTAGACAATGCATGAAATCCTGATTAGTGTCTGCAAAAAATGTACAATCCCTTGTTGATACGAAGCCACAGTGTGTTGTGCTGCTCTGGATTACAGCCAACATTTCAGAAGGAAAGTAGTTCACAAAGGTGGTCACACATTTTCAAATGAAAGCACATGCCAAAGAAAACAGCAAAATGTATGAACTGTGCAGGGAAAGAAGCTTCATATTCAGAGAATATATCCCAGAGAATGCAATAATAAACGCTTTGGCAAAAATAAAATACAAAAATAACAATGTGATTTTTTTTTGGTCAGAAATAATGGAGGTATTGTAAATACTGTAAAACTATATTTAAGAAAAAATGTGAGAGTCAAGAGGTTTAGTGTGTACTTTAACTATGTGATGTGTATATACAGTCATGCACGTATTATCAATAATATTATTACCTTAAATCAACACTTGCTCTAATAGATTTTTTTGCTGGTTAAATTATTTTTAACAATGCTTTTAAACAGCTCATTTTTCCCCATTCATCTAAACGTACAACTTCTTACTTTTTTGTGTGCTTTGGCCTGCTCTTCCACATACTTCTGTACTTCTTTTATAAGTTCCTGCAGTTTCCTCACGAGCTCTAAGTGACACCCAGCTAGCTTCTCCGTGGAGCTCTTGAACACATCCCACACTGGAGCAAACGTCCTGTAAGACAGGACCGCACGTACAAATTGTAATAATAGTCACATTTATGTTCTTTTCTTCTTGAAAATGTCTCGACTCACCCGAGCTGAGAAAAGTTGCCAGCTGCTTTGGCAAGTTTGGTCATTGACCTGGCATAGACTTCTTCTATGGTACTCCTAGAGAGGAGAAAAAAAACATAATCAAACAAAATAAAAACAAATATTATATACTTTCTATTTAAACGAAAAAAACTGTTCACGAGAGACTGACTGAAAATTGTTGGATTGTATACCTGGATTATTGAGCATGGACTTGTGTTTGTTCAAGAAAGATACTGTCCTGATATTAGTGAGTGTGCTTTAAAGATGTATCCTAACATGAGATTATAGGGTTCCTCCACAGTACCTTATTTAAAATGTCAGACTTTTCCAAACTCAAAGGCCTTCTCTACACTAATCTGGATTGTTTTACTCTCTTTATATTTTGTCTTTGTCCAAACATTTGAAATACTCATGCAGTACCACTAGATGGCCACTAGAACAAATAAAACACAAAAAATGCACATTATTATTATTATTAGCTAAAGTTTGTCCTGAAACTTTTTTCTTTTTAGTCTTTGAGAACACTAAAACATAAATAAAATTATAATATAGCAGGATAAGGATAAAGCGAGACTAATCTAGTTTTATCACTAAACTTTGTGTGTGGATGGGAAACAGAAGAAAATACCTGGTTATAAAAACTTTCAGAGAAGTGTGGACATTTTCAGACTTTTCAGTCAACCTTGGAGGCAATTTTCAAAGACTTATATTTAAATGACTGTGATTTTTACTGTAATCTTTTAATTGTCTCTAAGCTCCAAAAATATTAAAATGGGAAAAAGACCATACTGAGATGGAAAGTAAAAATGACAATATTGGAGGAGAATAAAATACATCTCATATATACTGTATAAAACACTGTAGTAACATTACATCTTACACACCCACCAGAATTTGTTGCCACTCTGTTCATGTTTTTGTATAAAACTCAGCTTTTGCACTGGTAAAGATTTTTGAGGCTCAGTTTCTAGTGAGCGTTTCTGTCTGTCATGAAGAGTGTTACTGTGGGTTTCTCCTCCTTCCCCTGCTCCTCAGAAAAGGCAGGAATTATAAAACAAGGTTTGTCTTGAATCTTTGGGCAGCAGCTGCATCGGCAACCTTCAAAATTGTTTACGTCTCCACTTTAAACTTGTTCATGTTTAAGTTAAAGAGTGAGATTAAATCTTCACCTCCTGCCCGTGAAAGTGAGAAAAGTGGGGAATGATAGTTTTGCCTGTCAACCCCAATTTAATAAGGCTGGCCCAGCTCGCAGAACTTAGCAAGAACATAAATGACTTTAACTTTGTATAATTTTAGAAATTCTGACCAGAATGTTTACTTGAAATATGTACAACCCACTAAGCAACATATGTTTTAAAGGACTGAAATAAACTGATGTGTAAATACTGAATTCAAATTTGACAAACTAATCTGGAGATTTCTGGCAAATCATGTTAGTCATGTTCACTCAGGATTTAAACAGAATAAAAATGTGCGCAAATGTTTTTATTTCTCAGTGCAAAGAGTTAGTTTTACATGAGACAGTCAGTTCTGACTCATCTTTATAAAACTTTTATGAATAGAATAGAATTAAAAAAGCTGCTGAAATAAACAAAAAATGTACCACTATTTCACCACAAGAGAGAGCCACACATCAGATTGAAACATGTTGCTTAGAGTCTATAATCGCTATTTAGTCACTGAAGAGCAACAGAACACCAAGTAAATACCCGTATATAAAATATATTTGCTTTAATAAAGAGTGCAATCAAGCTTTATAGTTAGTTAAACTGCAAAACATATTCAACTAAAGCATGTTAATTACGTACATATGCTTAATTTAACTTTCTGGCTCTGTACTGAAAAAGAAGCCTAAAATTCATTGTAAAAAATGCTCATCATGTTAAGGTTCTAGACTACAACCGCCTTGTGAACAGATGTGATAAGTTATAGCCATTTTGGTCCAACCTTGAACATGACGTTTTGTGTGATCACATACAATAATAAAAATCTGTTAGTCCTCAGAATATAATTGAAGAAAGAGTCTCAGCTACTACTACACCATGTTTCAACTCACTATCTGTAAAATTAATCGAGTCTGAGCTATTTTTGTGTCAGCTAATGTCGTTTAGCTGTGGTGGACATCTTGAATTAAATAAAGTGACTCCGAACAGTTGGCGCGGTACATCCAATAATAACTTTGAGTTTCACAGAAGCATTCTCAGTTGTTCGTAGGAACATTTACTAACACACAAACAGGTCTCAGTTCAAATGTTTTTGTTGAACTTTTAAGCAAGGATCTTGTGCAATGTGCATTACTGAAACTGTGTGTTGCGAAGGACTCTCACCAACAACCGCACTGAGTTTTTATTTAAAATCTGTCAAACTGAGTTATAGCCATTTTTGTGTGTTTTTTTTAATTATTATTAAAAGGCCTGCAGAAGCTACGAAGGTAACACAACTTTAGTAATGAACAAACCAGATTTTTTTAAGAATTACACACCAAAGTAAAATGTAAAATAACTTTTGAATTTTTATAATTTAATATCTGCTTGTTTAGTCATCTGAGCCCCAAGTGTAAAGTGTGAGTGAATGAGTGCATGCCTTTAAGGTAGGCTGAAA